TAAACTCAGCTGAGATTAGAACCTGAATAGCCACTGTCAAGAAAGAAGTAAGCAGAGAATTTACATTTCATGGGACAAAACTAGTAAGCCAGAATGCTGACACCTCAGTGGGATTGACTGCATCTGGAGTACTCATTTCTACCCTTGTCCAATAAAGCAGAAAGTGCTTGATTTTGAAAACACTAGAAGCTTCATCATTTCCATGGTTACAGGTTTCCAGTCACAAGTTAAAATTGATATACCTACAAGAAGGGTAGCTTCACACCTTTTTTTGTTTTCAGAATAAAAGGGTCAGACTAGCCTCCCAGCTTTTCAAAGACCAAGGAAAGCCAGCTGGGAAGGAGCAGCTGGGATCCTATGGACAGTCTCAGTTATGGACAACACAAGGTAAACAGGTAAGAATCATGTCATTCAATTTAGTAAAGCATTTGCTGAAGCTCTGAGGGGAGGATGGGACAGTCACTGACAGCTTCACATTCAGAAACACAAGCTGAATAAGCAAGGGTATCCTGAAAGTCTTAAGAGTTTTGATTTTCATTTATGTAAAATAATTTACATTGGATATCCCTAATATGAAAAATTGAAACTTTTGAACACTAAGACATACTACAGTAGAATATTCCACATTTTTCTTATGTGAGAAATCACAACCAAAATGGAGCATTGGAGGCTCAAGTGTTGATTTCAATCTCAAAAAATTATTAATAAAGAAAGAAAACTGTTTTCAGGCTTACTAAAAATACTGTGATGTCTTGTTATGTTACCCTTAGGATATGGATATATATATATATATAAAAATTAACTCCTCAAGACAGCTTACTCCAGAACGCATCTTGCCTTACCCAGCTGTTTCAGATAAGGGATAACCATCTTGTAATTAACAACAACTAAATCAGACATTTACTTTAAGAAGTAGATGTGTTTGTGAAATAGGCAATTTATCTTTTCTTCTCTTTCCCTTCTTCACAATTTTTGCTGAGTGATGGTACAGATTTTAACAGGAAACAGGAAATCAAACTTACTGTAAAAGGAAAAAGAAAGAGGAGAAAGTCATGCATCATAGTAATCATCATAATCATAGAAAATTGTGGTTTGATAGAATTTGTAACTCAGTCTATAGTTTATGTCAAAAGCTGACAAGACTGTCCAGGCTTGAGCATTCAACCCTGATTTTAATGATGCTTTATTATATTAGAAAAAGATTGGGTGGAATTCCATTCTGACCTTTCCCACAGTCGTGCCTTTAAATGTTTCTTTTTTGTTGTTGTTGTTGTTAAGTGTCCTTTTTTTTCTTCTCTTATATATTTCACCTGGACTGCGATTTCCTGCCCCTCCACGCTTCCCAGTTCCTCTTCCCTCCTGTCTTTCCCAGGATTTACTCCTCCTCTATGTCTCCTAAGAAAAGAGCAGGCTTCCCTGGATATCAACCAAACACTGCAACAAATTAGAATAAGAGTAGGCTCAAACTCTCATATCAAGGTTGGACAAGGCACCCAGCAGGAGGAAAAGGATTCCAAGAGCAGGCCAGAATGGGAGAAAGCCCTCATTCCCACTGTTAGGAGTCCTATAAGAACAAAAAGCTTATAACCATAACATATACACAGAGGACCTAAATCAGACCTGTACAGCCTTTGTGGTTGCTGTTTTAGTCTCTATGTGTCCCTATGAACCCTGCTTAGTTGGTTCTGTGGACCATGTTTTCCTGGTGCCCTTGACTCCTCTAGCTCCTACTATCCTTCCTCTCCTTCTTCTGTGGGGTTACCTGAGCTCTATCTAATGTTTGGCCATAGGTTTCTTCATTTGCTTCCATCAGTTGCTGGAGATAGCCTCTCTGTTGATGATTGGGCTAGGCACTGAGTACAACAGATATAATTAGGATTTTTTTTTTTTGGCTAGTCATGTCTAGTTCTATCCTAGTTCTCTGGGCTATCCAGCCTCTGCTTCTTGGCCATTCAGGCAGTAGAGGACATACACTCCCTCTTGTGGTGTGGGCCTCAAGTCATGGTTGGCCACTCCCATAAGTTCTGTGCCATTATTACCCAATACATCTTGAAGGCAGTACAGGTTGCAGGTTGTGGGTTGAAGGATTTGTGGCTGGGTTGCTATATTAGTCTAACCACTTGAAATCTTATCTGGTTACAGAAGAGTGCTAGTTCAGATCCATATTGCCAATTACTAGGAGTCATTGCTAGGGTCACTCTTAGAGATTCCTGTGAGTTCCCATTGTACTAGGTTTTCACATCAAGCCTGAATCTGTCATATACCAAACCCCTACCATATCATTTGCCTCAGTGAAAACTCAAAGGATTGGAACCATATGGACATGTTATTAAATTCTCTCATTGTTACTGCACAATCACATGTCGACTAGTTTCTTTTATTTTATCTACTATTAATTTCTGTTCACTTCATCTCATCATCTTTGAAAGAAGACATTTTATTTATTTTTTGTAGATCCAACAAACTACATTTCGTCCATGGAACTGACTTACACGTAAGAAGTTACCTACTGAAATAGACTTAGTCCAGTGTAATAGAATCTCAGAGTCTGAACAGGAACACTAGAAACACCATTTTGAAAAGTAGGAGGAAACATCCATTATTCAAGTTTGGGTAAATATCTGAGAATCAAAAGAAAAGTTCTGAAAAAAAGGAGGCTCAGAATTCCAGCAGCAATGGCTCCTGTAGATTTGACCATTGACTGTGGTCCAATTAAAGTATCCAAAGTACATAAGATATTAATGCTGAAAACCAATGTTGAAATAATTGTGGCTGTCTTCTAAAGGGAACTGGTAGGTAGTCATAACCACATAGTTCTCATCGCTCTTTCCAGTATGAACCAACATTATAATTAAACTAGGTTTTCCAGATGTAACAAACAAAATATGTGTATTTCCCAGTTAAAATGTGAATTGTGAATAGACCCCAAATAATATTGGAGACAATATTTGGTATATGCTTTGTTCCTGGATGCTGTTAGTGGTGCTAAAATGACCCTTTGCTTCAGGCATAGAATTCACCTCCTACAGAAGGAGAAACAGACATAGAAAGAACAGATATCATGGGGAATGAGTGTTATGGGTGACATGAAAACACTGTACTAGAGAAACGACTAACAACTAAAGTAGAGTTTGGGTAATGTCATGGGGAGAGTGGGATTTAGACAAAGCAAACACTTAGAAAGCAGGGACGGGGGAGGGACTAGTTTGAGGCTAGCCTGATCTACATAGAGAGTTCCAAGCCAACTTAGGTTGCATAAGACTCAGTCTCAAAAAAGTGAAACACAAACCCTTTAAACAGTAGAAACAGAGCTGGGGAGGCAGAGGCAAGCGGATTTCTGAGTTCGAGGCCAGCCTGGTCTACAGAATGAGTTCCAGGACAGCCAGGGCTATACAGAGAAACCCTGTCTCGAAAAACCAAAAGGAAAAAAAAAAGAAAAAGAAACAGAGCTGAGCTGGATCTTTACAGGTGGGATGAAGTGAACATTTAAAGGACAGAGTGCTCTTTATTTTCAGGAAAAAGGAACTCCTAAACATAGGAGAATGTGTAGGGGATGTAGAAACAAAACAGCTGTGGCATGGCTATTCACAGGAACTGTCACAGCTGGGTAACTGTGTCACACAAATTGTTGAGGGCTTCTAGGAACAGCCTGCTTCCATTTTAGGCTTGAATGTCATCTTATAATATAGACAGACTGAGTTTATTTCTGTTTATGATTTATAAGGATTGGGCTATGTCTAACCTGTAGCCTTAAGTACAAATGACTCTATACTGCCTGTTCCAGAAAAATACAACCATGTTTTGTTTCAAAAGGTTGTTAAGGCTATCTTGCTAGTAGCGCCTTGTTGTACTCTACTCTGTAACTCCCATTTGGAATCCCCCTACCACTATAAAATCTTTGCTTTCCTCTATGTCCAACGCCGACTTCTTGAACCCCAATCATGAACCTTGTGTTCATGGAAGGAGCCCATGAACATAAATAGAAGATGCTTGTTTTGTGTGGGTCAGTGGTCTTTTCCCCAAATCTTTGGAATTAACACTTCTCATTGTACATGGAGTACTTAGCACTTTCTTTCTGAGATGAGACAGGGTAAAAATGGGTCTGTGTGAAGTGGGAAGAGGCATGGAGACCAGATTTGAAGCTGTTAGTAGTTTACTGTTCAGGGATAGGTAAAGGGCAAAACTGTATCCTGTCCACTGCAGAAGATAAAGAGGATTTGGAATAGGAATTAATTAGAAGTGTAAATATTCATCAACTAAGTCCATAGGACAACTTGAATACCGCGATATTTTCTATGAAATACTGCTAAGAGTTAAGTTAGCTTTGGGAGTAACATGTAAAACATTTGCTGGGTAATCATTCAACAGGAAAAATGTGTGTGTGTGGGGGGGCGTTGCAAGGGGACTTGCCTGTGAAATTAGCATCCGGTCTCTTCCTCAGCCACTTTCACTTTATCTATTAAGGCAGGGCTTGATTACTGTCCTCATGCTTCAGGTGTATCTTCTGAGCCATCACTCCAGCTCCCATGAGAAGATACTTTTCAAATGTCTTCCTTCTCTGCTTGTACAGTGGGCTTGATGCCACGGCTCGTTTTTTACCTGTGACTTCTTTCCGTGAGCGAAAGATGGCCTGCCTTTTTACACTTGCCTCTGGTGTGAGTGAACCTTTGCATATATTATGCCCTCAATCTCAATCTAAACACAACAGACATTGGTGGTGAAGGAGATAGGGAGCACATCCTGCAGTATCTGCCAGCTGTTTAGGATGAGCTGTGCCACAGGGCCACTTTCCAAGGCTGGCGGGTGGGAGAGGCATCAGGCAGGGTCTCTTCTATGACTGACTCAAAAACAAAACCCCCCTCCTCCAGGCCTCTGTGGCTCCATCTGGGGAAATCCTAATCCTTTCCCTCTTCCTTGGCAGAGTTCCTGTCACCGGAGCTGGAGGGAGGCGGTGCGAGGCGGAACTCTTGGGTCAGGGGGAGGAGGGGGGAGGGGACTCCACTAACTTTGTAGTTCAGCTGTGGGGGCCGCTGTGACATTCTGCTCTGCGCTGCGGGCAGGCCAAAGCCTCTGGTCTAGACGAGAGGGCAGTGTGCTGAAGCCATCGCGGCCGACAGAGCCAGCAGAGCGTCCGGATGGAGGGAGCCACGACCCCAGATGCCGCCTCTCCAGGCCCTCTGGCCCTCCTAGGCCTTCTTTTTGCAGCCACCTTGCTGTTCCCGGCCCTGTTCCTCCTCACTCGGCGCACCAGGTAAGCGCCAGGCTGGCCACGCATGCGTGAATCGCGGCCACGCGACCTTGTGGGCACCCGACTTCCTCAGGGATAGCGGGTGCAGGCAGACCTTGCTGCTGGACACTGGCATCTGCTGCAGCCGGTGGGGTGGGTGTCCTAACAAAGATTTCTTTCAGCCTTCCACAAAGTCACCCACAGGTTACACTTTGAGGGGCCGGAATGGACTTGCTGCACCACGCTGGCTGTAGCTACCCAGGTTTGCATTAAGCATCATGTATGGCCTTCACCTGGGCCCATGGATATGTTGCTGCTCAGAATTCCTTGCATTTCAGGAAGAAAATTTTCTTGAATTTCATTTAGCTCAAAGAAATGTTTTAAGAAAATAATGGTGTGGGGTATGGGTGCTGCTCTGTGCCTCAGTTTACCTGATTATACCTTACTAGGAAACCACAGTATTTGTTAACATAAGGTTTTGTGGGGAGCAAAGGTCATTATAATTATGCCTTCGCTCTGTTATTTTTCTCAGTACAAGAGTAACAGTGCTTAAGTATCCTGCTTGAAATGAGAAAGTAAAGAAACACAACTAAACTAGTTCACTTCACATTTATTCTCGTTGTCCACTGGTGTGTTATCTTTTTCCTGCACAGTTTTCATGGCTTTTGAAAACCAAGGAGTTTGATTTGGGGAGGATAGTAATTACAATTTAAAAATTTATCAGTATGTACATATATCAATGTGTGTTATAATTTCTCAATGATTTAGGGACAATGACACAATTGTACTGCATACACATATCTGCACATTTCTGAAATGTCAGCTGAAAAATACTCAAGGTAATAGCATTTCCACTTTCTCACATTAGAGAACTTTATGGAGCTTTCCTGTCCCTCTTCTACAGTGTTCGGCACATGAGGGTCTTTAACTCCAGGCTCCTGTGATTCTGCACAGGCTCTAACTTCTCACCATGCCAGTTGCACTTCTACATATGCAGACAGGAAGGCTACTTGTTCCAGTCTCCATTTACATGCTGGGCAGGAACAGAAGGAGCTAACTAGTTCGTTCTAGACCACTGAGGGTAATCAGGTCAGAATGTGAAACTCAGGATAAAGATCCCAGAGAGGTAAAAGGACAAGGTATGCTTTCACGAGACGCTCTGTGAATAGGCCAGTTTTTCTCTGTTCACTAAGTTTTATTTGCTGAAATGTTCATGCCATCAATTGCCAATTCCTTCATACCAGGAAGACACTAATACAGGTCTATAGGGGACTGCATTCTAAAGCACCTGTAGTGCACTATAGAAAGATATGAGTGTTATAATTCAGAGAGGCTCATGTGACTAATGGCTTCTGTTTTCTGGGCCTGGACAATTTACCCCTGTAGAAATGTCCTGTCTGAAAATATGGCTAGAACAAGATATTCTCAATGCTTTATGTATAGTTATATGCCTGAATGACTCATAATACAAATATGTAAATGACAGGAAAACACACTCTATTACAACTTGTTTTTTCCCACTTTATAGTATGCTTTAGGTACCACTGATGAACATAGAGAATAACACACGCACACACACACACACACACACACACACACACTTGGATTGTTGTGGATATTGGAGTTGTAATAGATGTGAAACATCTCTCAGTCACAATTTATGTCACTACTAATGATCTGTTAAGTCCCTGTTCTCTTACATACTTCTGATATTAATATTACAATTCACTTTGATTACATTAGTTCAATAAAGAAAATAAAGCTTCACTTTTTAAAAACCTCTCTTTTGTCTTTCACTCTTTCTCTGTGTCTGTCTGTCTGTCTGTCTCTCACTGTATATTCCCTTGTGTGTGTATGTGTGTGTGTATGGGAGAGAGAGAGAGAGAGAGAGAGAGAGAGAGAGAGAGAGAGAGAGAG